TGAGTAGGGACTCTACAAATATGGCATGCTAGGCAAACTCAGCATGAGTTTCAAAATTCCTCAAGGAAGAAACAGTCTTATCTCTTTCACAACCAAGTGTAATGACCCGGCCGGTCGTTTTGAGTATTATAACCTCGTTTTCCCATTTACTGCTCAATTTATGCTTTATATTTGTTATGTGACTTGCCAGGGGTAATTGGTTCGGGTCCGATGAGGTTTTTGAATGATTTGCAACACCTAGTTCCAAGGTTTCAAAATTCAGTTGAAAATATTGACCAGATGTTGACGTATGTGTAGTGACCCGAAGAATATTTGCTAAGGAAATTAAGGTTTTATGGGGTCGAGGTAGATCAATTAGTACAAAGGAAGCTCGCTGCGGCTCAGACTTTTTGGGTTGAACAATGCACCGGAAAGTAAAGAAAAATTTTTGGCAGAAAAATGCGTTTCTGCGGTCCATTATGTGACCGCATAATCACTCTGCGGGCCGCATAGTGGCCGCAGAAGAGGGCCAGTTTGGATGAAATCTGCAGTCGACTATGAGACCGCATAACTGTTCCGCGGTCACTATGCGACACCGATTATGCGACTGATATGCGGTCCGCATAACCATTATGCGGTCGCATATGCGACCGCAGAATCCGTTCCGGAGCTTCATTTTTCTGATTTTATAAACCCGATCCCATTCTTATAAAACACTATTGGGGGTCATTTTGAAGGGTTTCATCTGATATTTTAGAGAGAGGTGAGAGCATTTTAGAGAGAGAAAGTGAAGACTTAGTCATTTATCCATCAATTTCTTGTTCAAGGTTTGAAGATTTCACAAGGATCTTGCTAGGGCTTCAAAGAGATAAGAATTTCTTTCCTCAATTCTTCAATTTCTGGTTGGAGTAAAGAAGGGTGATTTATAATATAGTTCTTGGGTATAAGAGTATTATGTATACATACCAATAAGGTTATGGAAAGATTGTTAGGTTCAAATGAGTAAAGATTGAGTTGAAAATGGTAGAAATCTTCATAGACTTTAATTGAAGATTTGAGGCTTGAGTTGATGTCGGATTTTGGTAAAATTTGTATAGTTGGACTCGTAGTTGGATGGGCGTTCATATTCTGTAATTTTTGTTGGGTTCCGAGACGTGGGGCCCATGGGCGATTTTGATTTAATTTCGGAATTTTTGTTAAAATATTAATTTCGTTAATTAGATGAGTCTATTATTGTTATATTTATGATATGTAATTTCTTTTGGCTAGATTTGGGCCATTCGGAGCCGGATATTCGTGGAAAAGGCATTGTGACCGATTGATTGAGCTTGGTTCGAGGTAAGTGGCTTGTCTAACTTCGTGTGGGGGAAATCCCCTTAAGATTTAGAACTATTGTGCTATGTGAGCGCCGTGTACGTGAGGTGATGAGTACGTACACGGGCTAGTTGTGGAGAAACCCGATTTTCTTACTGAGCAGCAACATGTTTTTCTGTTATTTTGAGTTATACCATTTTAATGAGTACTAATCTACTTTCATTATTAAATGAGTTATTCCAATATGTGTAACTATCATGTTTAGTCTAATACAACATGTCTACGTGTCTTAATTGTTTATGTGAATTATGTGCAGCATGCTTAATGAACTTCCTGCTTCTTCCCTGACTGGTACTTAGTCTAAATTGTGAGAATTTTGTGATGTAGTTGTATTTCTATCATTCGCGCTGCATATTTACTTTGGGACTACGGAACGGTATTTCGGGATATTCCCCTGTCTTACATATTTACTTTGGGTCTACGGAACGGTATTCCGAGAGATCCCCCTGCACATTTATTTTGGGACTATGGAACGGTATTTCGGGAGATCCCCCTGCACATTTATTTTGGGACTACGAAACGGTATTCCGGGAGATCCCCTTGCACATTTATTTTGGGACTACGGAACGGTATTCCGGGAGATCCCCTGCACATTTATGTTTGGGACTACGAGACGGTATCTCGGGAGATCCCCAGTTGTGTTTCTGTATACTGAGTTGTTACCTTCTATGATTTCATTATTGTTAAATTTCATCCTTTATTTTATTGCGGTATTACACTCTATATTATTTTATTATATATTTACCAGTAGGGCCCTGACCTGACCGCGTCACTACTCGACCGAGGTTAGGCTTGGCACTTACTGGGTACCGATTGTGGTATACTCATGCTACTCTCTGCACATATTTTTCATGTGCAGATCCAGGTGCACCTTATCGGCCCCACTATCAGTGAGCCGGGACAGCTTTGGAGACTTCAAGGTATATCTGCCTCATCCGCAGACCTCGGAGTCCCCTTCTACTCTTTCTCATGTCCATTATCTTCTGTATTTTTCCTTGTTAGACTCTGATGTATAGAGATACTAGATTTTTTTTTCTGTAGTTTGTGATTCACGATGTTCCGGGTTTTGGGATTTGCTGTGTATTTTTGAATGGTTAAGTGTTAAAATTATGTTTTCATTTTATTATTCCGAAAATGTTAGGCTTACCTAGTCTTAGAGACTAGGTGCCGTCATGACATTATACGAAGAAAAAATTTGGGTCGTGACACCAAGCCTCTCTTAAGAGGATTTGATGATGCTGGAGCCCAGTAGTTCGGGGTGAGGATTTTTCCTCCTTAATGTCAATAATAATTGGTCCAGTAGCCGGGGGATGAGAAGGCCTCTTTTCGAAACTGGACCAAATCGGCTTCTAGGGACAAATGGCAGGAGTGCTCATTGAAGCAGTAACATGAGAGCCTCTTTGGCTTCCCCGAGCTGCCGAAAATTCCTTAATTCTTTCTTGAACGGTACTGGAAAGAAGATCCACCAAAACACATGTCAGTGGTCTCCTCATTGGAATAACTACATATAAGATGATAAATTTTATCGACGAATAGCTTGAACGAGGATTTATAAGAAAGTAAAAAATATACCATAACTCTTGGCCCTCCACTCGAAATCCTAAGAAATATGCCTCCAGAACCTCTCTGGCATAGAGGAGCAAGACAAAATCTTTTTGACCCACTTCTTAATTTCAGACGCCTCTTTGAGTAAGGTAATAACAGCTGCAGTACAGAATATAAGTAAGGCAAAATGCAAAAAAGAAGTTTCGAAAGAAATGTAACGTGCTTGTCTTATCATTCCACATTCCCGGGAATAGCCTCCCAGCGAACTGAGTTAAATAATGGGTGGACACATCCATAAAATGATCATGTTACCCTATATCATGGTCATCCTCGGTGTCCACTACCTTTGGAGTACTCCAGCTAGAAAGCATAATGATGCTGCCCCGGAACAATTTCGGGGAATATAAATGAAGGAGTTGTTGAAGAGTAAAGCCCACCCTAGCCATGTTTGATAAATAGCATAAGCAAGCCACTAACCGCCAAATTACCTATCCAACCTGGGCCGGGTTGATGTTGAAATGCCAGAAGAGATCCCAAATTATTGATTCAATCAAGGGATTAAAGTTCAAAGTGAAGGAGTAGGTATACAAGAATGTAAAACCTTCTCAAGAACTTGATATACACTTAAAGCCCAAGGGTAGTTAAATGTCCAAATCGTCCCAGCCAGATTCGTCCTTCAGTAGAGGAGGATGTTTGGGGCGCACTAAGGATGAAAGTGTATCTACAGGACATGCGGTGTTGTTCCATACACCACCATTTATCCAAGTCTTAACTCCCCCAGGTAAAATATCGAACACTGAGTGCTCAACTTTTGTCATTGCCTTTTTGCCGGAAGAAGCTTTAACAGCGTTCTTCCTCTTGCCTTCGGCGGATTTCGTTGCTTTAACAGAGGGCCCTGGTGCCAAAGAGGACAAAGCCTCTAACACAACATCAACGAGTTTGATCTCTTTCTTGTCCATGACATTTTGTAAAACAAAAAAGATAATACAGATAAAGGAAAAACATAGAGAAGAAAAAGCAAAGAAGAAATTGAAGAAACATAAAAGCAATAACATCAATTGCGTATATTTATAGGCAAATATCAAAGTCAAAAATCTCTAGAGAATCGGGCTCACACGGGGTACCGCTTAGGATGGGAATGGCTCAGCCCACATGCACCATTTGATGAATGCACTCCAGTCACCTCTGATGATTGGTTTGTCAACCACACTTTCTCTCACTCAAAATGATGCTCCTCGGGAATGATGCAACACAACAATGAGTAGTTCGCTCCAGGACCCCAACCCTAGAGAGCAAGATGCTTACCGAGATAGAGGTGGGAGCAAAACTTGCCTAAGAAACTGCTACCTATAGCAGAGCCTATAATATTTGGCCACATGTCAAGAACATCAATAAGAAATTATGCATGTATCTCGTCAATCATTGGTCAAATCACCATCTTAGGTATATAAAAGAGTAATCTTTCCCGCTAATAAATATGTCAATATTTGTCCTATTAGAAGTTTTTCGTTTCTTGGGCACTTCCTATGAAGCACCCGAAAAATATGGAGGACTACGATATCCGTAAAACAAACTAATTTAATGGCTAAACTCACGTTATATGAATAATTGGCTCGATGATGGACAAATCTTAATGGGTATAGTTTGGCGGAAGACTCTTTTGATAAATTTCCATACCTAGCACCTAAGACCGGGGATTGTTTAAAAATTTACAGTCGGCAATAGACTCTTTCGATAAGTTTTCATACCCGACATCTAAAATCAGACACTGTTCAAAAAATCACAGCTAGCAACTAACTCTTGCAATAAGTTGCTATATTCAGCACCAAAGACCGGACACTATTCAAAAAATAGAGTCAATATGTATATCTGCAACCTCTACAAGCATTCTGAACCTGGTAAACAATCCATAACGACAAAGACTTATTGATATCTCCGAACAACTTACGCCCTAAAACATCTTCACAGGCACCGAAAAATGTAAGTCGTATAAGGCATTCTTAATCGATTTTTCACAAGTATTCGACAAATTCACTTAGGTTTAACCAATAAGACTACAACAATAATAACACACAAGTGCGCAAAAGTTAAAAAAAAAAATGTAAACAAATTCGCTATTATAAAAGGCACAAAAGGCCTATCATTCAAAAACTATTACAAAGAAGATCTTGGAGAATCTCATATTTCATGCAATGATGATTGTTAGGAATAAGGGAGAGATGAATAAGCATTAATTGCAGGAGCTTGCGGCAAAGAATACATCTCGTCACCCTTATCTTTGGGGACTTCAGTATGGACCTCGTCCACATCCTCTCTTTCCCCTTCATCCTTAGATCCATTGGAGTCGTCGGAGGTAGAGGAGCTGGAAGGATTTGCCTCGTCAACAAGGGCATTTATCTAGCAATTTCTTCATCCAAGGAGAAAGCCCAAGACAGACTTCATGAAGGGTCTTTTGGCAAGCTAGCAGGTAGGCGTATTGTTTGCCTTCGGTCGCCTTCTTTTAATCTTCTTTAATTTTGAGGTTGCGTCATCTCACTAGGCCCGGAAGCTCGACCACCTCCGTGGATCGGTCCTCAAGGTCTTGGCTCTCGGAGATAACATAAGTCCGTTTCTCTACCAAACTCATATGCTAATCATTTTTCCTCTTAATGGCAATCTCGAGACTTTGCACCTTCTGTGTAGCTTGCCGAATTGATGGAACAACTCTATTCCTGAGGCCTCTTTCTCTTGCTCTAACCGACTTACCCTCTTAGAAGACTCTAGGACCTCTGCGAAAAATGTTTCTTTCTCTGCATCCTTCTTTGATAAGGCTTGCATCAACCTCTTGATCTCCCGCACATGTGCACATCGAACAATGTCGCCCTTCGTGATTCTACTATGGAGCTCTGTGGCCACCAAGTTAACCTAAAAACTCCAAACTCTTAAAACAAAAAGGAAAATAGGAACCAGTAGGAAAAATAGAATGTCTAGGCCCGTACCTTAAAACTCGAGGTTGCCACATGATTAGCAAGGGCCGATGTTGAAGCATTCTCCATGTACTAACTACCATTTCAAGGGCTTGATAAAGCCTTTGAACCACGAAGCAACCTTTTTGGGCCTCCGAAAAATGTTCCCCTCGGTAGGAATTTATACCATCACCTGTTTCTCTAGGGGTCATGGATTATTCAGGCTCCGGACGCGGAGGCACCTTAAATAGAGTTCTGAAGCAATAGATCACATCGTCCTGTTAGAATCGAGTTTCGGGAGCTATAACTCTTACGAATAAACTGTGACCACCTCGTCAAAATGATCACTTAGAGGCATCACCATCCTCCTCCTCTGGTACCATCGGCTCATTGCTGGACCTCCGCCTCAGGGGTAATTCCTACTAGTCATCATCTTCAACTAGAACATTGGGAAAATTGGAGAAAAGTGGAAGGTTTTCTTCCTCGGACTCATCTTGTCGCTGGGAAAGGTACCTTAGGGTCAAAACTCGAGGACTTTTCTCCTCCTTATTATCTTGAGCCCTCTTTTTAGAACTCTTTTTTTTTTTTTTTTTGGGATTCGGGGCAGAAGGTACGTCCTCGCCGAATTTCCTCTTGGCTAAGAATGGTTGATGTACAAGTTCTTGGGTCATCTCGAGATCTAGAACCTTAGCCTAAGCTAATTATTTCCTAGATCCAGTGCCTATTACAGCAAAAGAGGTATTTCAGGAATATCATCAAACGGGAACGCTTAAAACTTCACTTGGTTAAAGCACTCATACCGTGATTCTTCAACTCCCATCCCCTGACTAGAGAAATCATTTTTCACGTCATCACCTCTATGGTTGTCAACTTTACCAAAGCACTCCTCCGTATTAGAGGGCAGGCCGGTAATGGAATTTAGAGTCGTTGATTATCGTACAAATCAGAAAATCTCCCTAAAAGGGATAATGATAAACAAATAATAAATGGAGAAATTACGCTTGAAATTCTTTTCTTCCAAGAAAGAAAGATCGCCTTCGCTTAATATATCCCGGGTATGTATTTTAACAAAATTCTCGTACCATCTCAGATGAGTAGTAGATAAAAAGTCATCCCGAGGTATACTCATAAATTCTTTCATGAGCTCGACTCGAATTAGCATCTCTAGAAGTTGCAATTGTCCTTGGTATTGGCCAGAAGAGCAGAGTGTTATGGTTCGCTAATGTTAACATTGACCATTTTTAAGTTTGGGGCATTAAATTTGAATAAGATGCTTGAAGGAGAAACATTTCCCCACCTTCTCGGCAAGGAACCTCAGGCAAGCCACTAACTGCCAACACTTGGTCCGAGCTGACCTAAGCAGACATTGAATGCCTTGATAAGGTCCTTGATTACCGGATCAATGGCCTGCTTGAACCCGAGGGTGAACGGGTAGATGAACACGAATGACAAATCTTCCCAGAGTGTGGTAATGTTCTCTCCTACTCTAGAAAGGGGTGTTCGACCTTGTCCTCACAGGCACAATCTCTCAACCCCTCCAAAAGATGCTCTACTTGTAAGGTCAAAAGAAAACTTTCAATCAGCCTTTCTAGTATTGTTCCTGCAACCGACAAGACATATGAGATGGAGTATGTTCAGAAGAAACTCCGAAGTTGTCGGTTCTTCCTGTTCTTTCTTGCCTTTGCATGAGGCTTTGGCGGCCTTGACTTTCCTAGTAGGGGTTGGCGCCAAAATCGTAGAGGACGAAGTGGTCGGAACTGCTCTGCTTGCATCGACAGGGGCTGATGGTCCCTCTTCCGCCATCGTGGAAGGTTTCTGCCTCTATTCCTTCTTTTGAGGATAGGTGGTTCCTCCACCATTATGTCCTCCATTGTCGCGGTGGTTGCATGAAGAGGAACGACGATAGCTACCTCTATAGTGGCAATCATCTCTTGAGCGTTGATTGGAGTATTTGGAGAAGCCATTCGAAGATAGTGATCAAAATATGGGAAAGAAACAAGAAGCAAAAGGATTGAAGATTTTTAGAGAAAAGCAACAATGGAGTTTTAATACAACAGCAATTGCCGAAAGACAGAAAAATAAAGAAAAATATGCATATTTTGATGTTAGTTATCGTATAGTTTGAATAAGCCAATACGAAATTGGGATTAATCCCTCTAACAAATCTTAACTAAAACTTACAATTGGATATTGATCCAGATATTGATGGCTATGCTTTTAAGTCAATTGAGAGTGAAATAAGGTTTTCTTTTTCAGAAAAAAGGAAAACAAGGCAATGAAATTAAGCTTTTAGATTAACGGTATTTTTCGGAGTTTAGCTTATATATATATCGATTTACACTATCAGGTCAGCCTTATTGTTGTAACAGCTAACCTAGTTTATGTTCAAGATTATTAATTTCGCTTTTATAGAGCGTAACCTGTAAATATCTTTTGAGCAACCTATTAAAAAATTTTAAAAAAATAGTTTACAATATCGTTGTACATAAGTTAAACTAATCTTTTCCATCATCATGAACATGATCCCTCTCAAACACTGAGTAGCGAGTTCTGTCACAGCCTTCTCTATTAGCATTCAAAGCTTTCATTCGCAGCTGAAATTATATTCTTACGTTTGTGGGGCTAATTAATGAATCATTGTAATCTTAGAAAACTCTCCCCGATAAAAGTAGGATACTTTCCACTACCTGATGAATCCTCTTTTGTAGTATGTTAAGATAAGCTAATTTGAATCATTGTGGGTACACGATTTTAATTCCCAAGTGGTAGGAAAGTTGACTTGGCTTCATTACATTTGTCTCAGAATTAATTTATTAATTCACTTAAAAAAAAAAAACATTGGCTACATGGTACGTCAGTTTCACTACCTAAAAGTATTTTTTTAATACTTAGATACGTGTCAACTATTTTTGACTAATTAAGCCAAAATAGGCTCGCAAACCCTAGACAAGGACTAACATCATCTTCTTGATATACAACAATAATCCAGTATAATCTCACTAGTGGGGTTTGGGGAGGGTAGGTGTACGCAGACCTTACCCCTACCCTGGGGTAGAGAGGCTGTTTCCGATAGACCCTCGGCTCCCTCCCTCCAAAAACTCCCTACCTTGCTCTTGGGGTGACTCGAACTCACAACCTCTTAGTTGGAAGTGGAGGGTGCTTACCACTAGAGCAACCCACTCTTGTCACTAACTTCATCTTCTTGATCTGGGGCATTAATTTCTTCCGCATACATTGCAACTGTAGTTTCACTATCTATAAGACTCCAACTCATTGTAGATTAAATTTCAAATTGAAATTGAATCTAATACGTTCAGAATCCAGTAAATCACCTGGTCTATCTTATAATATATCCACTATGCCATCGCAGTTGCTCCCACAACCACTACATTTGACCTTTCAACCATTTACTACTAATATTATACTTTAGATGGTAGATTTAACTAGAGTACAATATTAAAAATGTCGTCTCTGAGAAACGAGACTGTAATTCAATAATTTAGATTTTCATGGTATAATTTTCTTATTAAACGCGTGTAAAGTATTTTTTATAATATCGTCCACGTAGATGTTTGTTGGTTGGTATGAGATATGAGGAAGTGAATAGTAAAACCTTGATATAATGTAAGAAGAAAAATGATACCAGGAGTTGAAGCTTAACCAATTTAGAAGGAAACTTAAGGATTACGTGAAGAAATATGTGTTGAAAGAACAATAAGAAAAAATTCATACCTATGAAAACAAATTTATAGTATAACTTACTTGAAGAATTTTTAAAACGGAAAATGACGAAATTTACTCCCATACTTTGTGAGGGGACTTTGCTCCGTTAAAGCCTAAAGGAACGGGCAGTTTGTGGAGACAAATTTATTCGAGAACTTCAACGGAGGATAAATTTAAACGTATATATGTGAACAGTCTTTAATTTTCATATATAATTTCAAATCCAGATATGTAACCATACAAAAAACAAAAAAAAGAAGAAGAAGAAGAAGAAGAAAAATCAAGATACATTCTTTAAAAATATTTGCTTATTGAGACTCATGGAATAAGAGATTGACAATGATCCATCCCCTTAGAGAAAATTAGCAAATAGGAAAAAGTCAGACACGATTAGGCGTTAAATTTGGAGGAGTAGGTGCTGATCCCACGCGCTTGCCACGCTCTGATCGGCAGTTCTCGGCGAACTTCAAGCTATTTTGGTGCATACCTTTCTGCCTCTCAGCTTCGGTGTACTCTGCGGCATAATAATGTTCCTCACTTCCCTTAACTGGGTCTTTCGTTGGTGGAAAAAACATGCTTCCCCATTGTGGGAAATGACAGAAAGTCACAGGAAGAGTGCACCCTATGATCATTAATCCCATGTAAGTTAGCCCTGTTGCTGTCGAGTATTTTGAGCTCGTGAAAAACAACAGTTGTGTCAATCCAGAACCGAAATTTCCTCCAGCTCCAGTCATACCCGAGATTATACCTAATGATCGGCGAGAAATGAAGGGAATAATACCGAATGTTGCACCACATGCAGCTTGAGCACCAATAGAGAAAAGGATCATGAATGTGACGGCTATGGGCAGAGAATTCGAACGCCCCAACAGCACGCAGAATACTCCTCCCAGTGTTTGTAGTATCCAAAGGACCCAAAGTCTGCCTCTCATGCCGAATCTTTTGGCTGCGTAATCTGAAGAAAATCCTCCGAATGGACGAGCTAATAAATTAGCCATACCAAATGTCGCTGCAATAATTCCCGCTGTGTGAAGCTTTAGATCAAATCTGTACGTTTTTACACTATTAGTTAGTAATGCATTTTTACCATATACAAACTAAAATGTTTCTAATTCCTCTTCATATGGACAATTATATTGTAATTGTGTTTAATACATATAAGAAACAAACCTGTCGAAGAAGTACTCTGCAATTACGTTGTCCGTAGACAGTTCAACTCCCATAGAGTATCCGTAGAGTAGGACAAAGATCCATGTCCTGTAGTTTGTTGCAGCGTACCACAATATCTGAAATAGCAAAAACGTAAAGTATGTTAGCTAAAATTCTTCTCCTTTAAAAAAAAGAATTTTCTTTTTTTAAGAGATGAAAGAGTCTTAGTGTAATCGGAGTACTAACGTTGGAGAATTTATCTTTAGAAACACCACCCTTCTTCTGTAAATCACCACGGTTCCCATCAGGCAAATCTTGGCCAAGAGTCAACACCAAAATACCCATCACAATATGAAGCCAGCCAGGAATGAAAAATGCAATTCTCCAAGCAGTGAATGGAGTTGCTCCTGCTCTTCTTATTATATCATACACAATTGGCATAATAAGTTGAGTCGCACCACCACCCATATTTCCCCATCCTGCAGCTGTCCCATTGACAAGTCCTATAATCTGACTATTAAACATAGTACTCATCCAATATTGGCACGACACAAATGTTGCTAGCGAGAATCCGATCATGAACCGGACAGCAACATATCCTCCAGCCGACGACACAAATGACATGCAAAATACAGTTGGGGCTGACAACATAATCAGAAATGCACAGCCATATCTTGGCCCTAACATATCACAAACTGCACCCATAACAAGCCTAGATAAAATACTTCCGGAAACGGAAGCAACTCCGGCATTACCAACATCCATTTTGGTTAAATTAAGGTTGTCCCTAATGATAGGAACTAAAGGGGCAGCGGCAAAAGTTGAAACAAAACAAGTGAAGAAAGAAATCCAGGAGAGCTGGAAAGTAAGACCATGAGGCTTTGAAAATGAATAGAACTTAAAAACCTTGGCTTTGTGTTCAGTATCAACTGGTACTGAAAATTTTGCAGTGGTATCAGTTGGCACCATCGGAGAAGCCACTGAGAAAGCAAGAACTGGCTCTCTACCAGTGACTCCATGCATGGAACTCCCTGGTTCGCCCTCAATATCACCCATTTTTTTCTTAAGGAAAAAAACTGATTGAAATGTTAAAAATAAAATTGATGTGTTTGTTTCCAAGAAGGTGCAGAGAGGGAGTGTTTATATAGGTATCAAAGAGTTGACATTGGTGTAATTAAGGCAAGTGATTAGCGACTGCCAATGGCTATATTCCGTTTTTGGAGGATTTAAATATTTGATTAAGGAATCCATTTCGCCGCATCTGAATATGAATAGTGCTAACCTTATCGTATATCCCAAAGGTTCAGTGATGACCATTCTCGGTATCTTCATTAATTAGTTGGAGTACTACTATACCACATGACCACATCTATTATCCTTCTGGCGTACAATTATCAAACCAATCTTTCGCAATTTGCAGGGTTTCTTATGCAAATCAATCATACTTGACATCTTTGTATAACCTTTAATTCATTTAATTATTCCCTCAAAAGGCATTTGCTGAGATTTTATGGACTAAAAACACAAATTGTAAAATCTTTACCGCTGTGCTTTGTTAAGCTTCCATGATTTATTGTAATATATATTTACAATCGGAGGCAGATCCAAGATTAAACCCTATGGGTTCAACTTTTAAAATTTTTAGCATTGAACTCATTATAATTTTAAAGTTATGCGTTTATATCTACTATTTATTTCATTAATAGATTTTACATATAAATTTATACTATGCATCGAAAGTAATAGATTCAATTGAACCTGTATTTATAGTGATAATTGTTTACAATATTTCCTGCTTTACCAACAAAACAATATCTTCCAGGCGTGTTTTCTTTCTTAATTATCTCTGGCTAGTCCGAAATATTAATAGTTCTGACAAACTGAATTAGTTAATTCGTAATATCTGACATTTTAGAAAAGCGAAGTCATTTATTACTTTCTTTCAATGTCCTAACAAACGTGTGAATCTCTATTATATGACATTAATTGGTAACGTGGTAAAGTGATATTTTATTTACTATAATAAGTTACACTACATTAATCATAAAAAAAAAAAAAAAGAGTTTTATGCTATTACTGTATACTAGTCTTAGGGTACGCGTTTCACACGTGTACCCCATGCTAATAAATATATAATTTAAAAGAATTATATAAATAATAATTAAATAACATATTTGAGTTTATAAAAGAAAAAATAAAAAAGTGTAAATTTTTGAAAGTAGTGAATGTTAATCTCACTTAGCTGACTTAATAAAGAAAGAAATCCTTCTCCACGTAAATTCTATGATGCTTATTGCAATTTCTAAAGATTTATGTGTGAACATCTTATGAAATTTTATTGTTAGTTTTTGTGACCTAATACTAAAAATAAATATTTATGCATAAATAGTTTTATCAAAATTCTATTGTTATATCTTTAGAAATTTGGGAATGAATAGATTTGCCCTATAGTTTAAGAACTTTTTGACGATAGTGTATAGTATAAGGATGGCTAATGTTGAGTTGATGTTTTACAACAAATAACTTAGTAATATATAAAAAGATATAGATTTGTTGGAATGAATGAAAAATAAAGAAAAAAAAATAATAAACTCTCATTTAGAATATCGCAAAAA